CTCTCTCGGTTGTATCCTCATTGAAGGCCGGCCGAATCGATCTGTTGCCCTCAATTTGGTTGATTTCATGCCTCGAATTATTCGACTCTGAGGTTTCATCACAGGACGAGTTACCACTGGCATCTGAGCTCTCCATTTCATCTAAACCATCATCATCAGGAAGGGATTTGATGGCTGAATCTACCATCTGCTGCAACTCGGCAATAGGCTCTCGAGGTAGCACATAAACAACCTCGACCTGCGAACTGGTGTCGCTGTCCTCGCCCCCGTGACCAGGGAAACGACCCCCTGAATCAGCTGCCGCTTCAGCTACGCAAGATGTAGCTACCTCGGCACCTAAGGGATGGATAATCAATTGTTAAAAAAAAAAAAGAAAAAAAGGGGGGGAGGGGAAAGAGAAGGATTGTACCTCCTCCATGGGATGACGAACGACTTGGGCTTCGCTCTATGTTAAAAATTCCCATAACAGGATCCACCGAGGTATTAACCTCCCGGTCTCCTCGTCGAACCTGCCCAAGCCGCGGGCTAGGGGGATCAACTCTTTGCCCACCCCATGCTGCAGAGGAAGAGGGTTCAAGTCAGAAGACAGTATTTCCCTTTCCGCGCGCTCAGGGTCCTCCAGAATGCTTGCCAAAGTATGAAGAGGGTTAGAGGGAACGGCCAGGCCGGCATCCCCATCAGGAGCGCGAAGAACACCGCTAGTAGGCGCGGACATTGCAGTTCTTTTTGGATGGGTAGCTCGAGACCTTGTTCTCAAAGGAACCCCAGCCCGGGTGGGCGAATGAGGGATCTCGGAAGAAATAGGATCCTTTGCAACGGTGGGAGTCTTTGAAACATCCTATAAAAAAGGGAGATGAAGAATAAACTGGTCAGTATGGAGTTGGTAAGAAAGCAGAGGTAGAATTTGTCTTTTACCTTAGCTCGCTTCGAAGACACGGTTGCAGGTCTGAAGGTGCTAACATCTTGATCTGCCTTGCGTTTGTCCCGGCGCGCCTTAGTAACACGGAGGGCTATCACGGGTGCGATTGCAGTTGGTAAGAGTAGAGGAAGTAAACCTGTTGTGCTGCAAGGTTTAACCCTCGCGGATACAGATGTATTTTTGAAGGTGCCGAACGAGGCGTCACCTTTCAGCAGAGCTCGAGCAGGGACAGGGACAGGAGTGCTACTTACGAACTTCCTAAAAGAAAGAATTATCTCCTTCCAATAGGCCCTTGTCTTTTCAGCCTATCTCCCAACCTTAAGAGTAGAGGGCACGTGAAGAATTTGGCGATCCCCAAGGAGTTCTGCCTCTTCAGAATCGAGGAAGCACAAAAAGCCTAGAGCATAGGTGCTGTGATCCTGTTGCGCCCCATAGCCATAATCCCTCAGAAGTCCTTGATCGAACCCAAATTGTCGAGCCACCCTATAAGGGTTGTAAACCTTACCTACGCCTGAGTGAGGGGGAAAAAGCCCGGGAAGATAGCCAGGTAGGGTCATGGCAATGATGGTCAGGGCTGGAGTGCGCTTCAAAGACTTGCCCGAAGTCACTATGCCATCCTTCGACGCACAGCACTCGACGCGAGATCCATAGGTGTATGGGCGAGCTACAAAGCAACTCTCCCTATCAATAAACTCTGACAATTTCTTTTTCGTGGTAAGTTTGTGCCACTGGAAAGATCGCTTCAAGCTGCCGTCACGGGCCAACGTGTTTGGACGAGGACCATACTTTGGGAAATGTTCGTACAAAAACATCTGAAGAAAAATTACATTAACAGGAGAAACCACGGTCATGCAACCCATGGAGTGCTCCATGCGGGCATGCGCCAAGTCGAGCTCATGGTAGAGAGTACCCAAGAACAGAGCAGCCAAAGGTAGGCTGTTGCCATAAGATAGCTTGACGGCCAAAGGAATGAGGTCATGACAAGGCCCGTCATCAGGGGGCCCCGGAAAAACAAATCTGGATAGCCCCGACAAGATTATATGCAGCAAAGCGAGCTGAGTCCTTGCACTTCGGGCCACTGAAGGACTCCTCCTCTTCTTGACCCTGGGGGGGGGGGAGTCTCGGAAATAATAACGCAAAAGTGATACAAACGTGCACTTCTTGCCCATCTCCGGGAACTCCTCAAGAAGTCCAGTATCTTGATAGCGCGAGGCTATCTTACCTGCTGAGGTAACACCTTTGCGAAGCTTGGAGGCAAGTTTGACCTCGTCTTCAGTGATGGACCAAGAGCTAGGGTCATACTCACCAAATACGTTCAAACACATGAGCTGCACTACATCCTCCAAAGTAGGGGTGAATTCTCCCCAAGAGGTGATAAAGGTATGGGTATCTCGGCTCCACTTAGATAACAGAAGGGCGAGATCGGGGACATCCCGAGGTATGGTTAGCTCCCGAGTGTTTCGGATAGCGTCTGTAATTTTCGAACCCTGCAAAATCCCCGAGAACTCACCATCAGATAGAATCGCGTCTGTCCATAACTCCCATCCTCGTCCATGACCGGTCTGACTCGTAAAGGCAATGTTAGAGTGAGGGAAGTCACCGCGCTCTACTCTGAATAGTAAAATCGAGTTGGGCTGAATGGGCGCCCCAGTGAGCGCGTAAGGATCTCCCTCGAACAAGAATGTGCTTGCCGGAGCCTCATTTACCTCGCTTAATACATTGCTGTTAACCCAGAAGGTGTCGCTCGGACCAAAGTATGGGGCAACTCTCCATTCATTCAAAGGAGGGACGTCGGGAACATCATCGCGAATCGCCATTGCCTTGTTTTGAACAAGAAGTTTTTGGGAGGAGCGAGCAAGGATGAGTGGACGAATGGTTTTGGTGCCTTTAAAAAAAATGCGTGTTTTGGAATGACTTAAATATGGGGGCTCAGCATCCCAAGCGTCGCGCCTCCGGCTGACGAAAAGACGTGACTCGAGACCCGAAACGTCTTAACCTGACACACCAATAAAAGGGCGACACATAGATCGAGAAACCAAAGCGACACGACCCCTGAAGTGATATGACTGTTTAGTACTCAAAAGACATGACCTTTCGGTGACCCTTCAATAGGAGCAATAATAAATATTAAATTAGCGGTTTGCTCGAGCCCCTCTCTCGACGACCTCGAGCAGGGGGGCAAAATGTTGATGACCGCGCCATGGTAACTGACTAAGTGGCGCCACCTCTGCAATATAGGCACAACTGGCCAGTGCTGACTTAGCGTGCCCACGGTTGATTAGGTATTCTCGAGCTACTTATCCAATAACGGAACTCATTGGCTGAGGGAGGGGTCGCTACCCTTCCTCTACTGTGGACGCGCCCCGCTCCAGTCAAATGGGCTCCTCCCCCCCTGGCTCGCTCGAGGGTACTCTCTGAAAGAGCAACCTCGACTTATCTGTTTACACATTTCCCTTCTTGACAAAGAAGACCTCGGGATAGAACTGGGATGGGAACCCGCGAGGTCATGAAGGCAGGACCTCGAAAGGGGGCCTATCCCCACCGAAGCACGGGAATCTGAGGACATGTGGATAGGTGGCTGAGATCTAAGGGGTCGCCTCAGTCCGAGGCCAGCATAAGGGGGAAAGGATACCCGGTACCTAAGCTCGAGCGATGAAGGACAAGAAACGCATTAATTGCGAAAGACATTTGATAAGACCCTCATTAATTAGGGAGCGCCGTTACCTCATTTGACCGAGGGGCAAAGTGCCGCGACCCATCCATCAGCGTCTCATCCGTCAGAAGAAGAGGCCATCGAACCTTTGGATAAGAGCGGGCTCAGCTAAAGGACTAAAAGGCATTGACCGAGGAGGTAAACGCTATAAATAGGGGTGTTAATCAGCCTTAAAAGACATCAACCACCACATTAACAATTATCCTCTGACAAGCTCGAGTTTCATGGCACCGAGGTCGGCCTTCCCTTTCTTAATCTCCATACCTAGAGAATCCCTTGTGTTGCTTGGATCTCCACTTGGATACTGATTTCAGATCCCTTGGCTTACGTGGAACGATCTCCTTATCCTACTCACGAACTACCATCAACACTGGGTATCACTATCAGTATCAAAATATGATTGCATCTTATCTTCAATTATGTTATTTCTCTTATATATATATATATATAATTTTTACTTTATATATATATATATATATATATATATATATATATATATATATATATTCGTTTATGTGATGAATCTTGTATTATTAATTTCTATGTTTTTGAAAAAGAAGATGGTGGGGCTAATTTAAATGGGTTACCCTTATTAACAATATACTACTCCCTTAAAATATTTAAATATTTTAAAAATTGTGACTCATATTTTGGAATGAAAGGAATATATAAAAAATTAAGTAAAAGTAAATTTTTTTATATATAATAAAAATTATATTATTATTTTGTTATCGTATTCGTGTTGTGTTTTATTTTTTAAAATTTATTGTATCACTTTATACATGCCGTGTTGTACGTGTGTCTCTGTAATTGCTTCATAAATTTTGACAAAATGTAAATTTTAATGATTGTCTATCTCTCAAAGTACCACACAAAAGTACTCAGAAAAAATTTCATTAAATACTCCATTATCGAATTCAATTCCAACGAAGCGACGGGAAGGACAGAACCTACGAATCCCAATGATTCAGGCGGCGGGATGGCGGAAGGAACGAGAACGAATTCATCTATTAGGAGAAGTGGTTTGACCACAGCAGGGTAGTGCAAAAGATCTTGGTTCGAAGGTCACTTGCAATGACTAAAGGATATCTTGGTCTTTTCACCTTTGGGTTCCACGATAACGCCCAAATCTCTCGTCCTTTACACCTGTCCAATAATCTTGGACAATTATCACTGCAAAGTCGCAGCCTTTAAAATATTGTCAAAATAGTAAAATTGGTATACAAAATTTAAAAATTTTAAATTCACTAACGGACAGTAGTCTAAAGTTTCTTATATCTGAGAGAAAGGTTAAGAATTCAAAAGTGCGTGTACCAGGACCAAAAATATAAATAAATAAATCACTTTTCCTAATATAAATAGCATATTCTATAGCGGAGGAAGATCCTCCCAAAATTCTTCACTGTCTGTCTCGCAACTCCTCATCTCCGACGAGTTGGGCCTGAGCTCTTCATTGTTTCCGTACTGTGAGTGTGAGCTCTGTGCCTTGTCAATTTCATTGGGATTAAGCTCTTGATTTTCTCGGTTTCGTTCCGAGTTTGTATTATAATCTGACAATGGGAAGTTGAGCTTGGCTCCGGCTCCGCGGAACTCAATGGCAGCCTTGTCGTAAGCCCTCGCCGCCGCCTCTCCAGTATCGAACGTGCCCAGCCACACCCGCTTCGCTCGCCGGGGGTCTAGTATCTCTGAAGCCCACTTCCCCCACGGCCTCCGGCGGACTCCCCTGTACCTGTTCTTACTCTTTTCCTTCTCTTCTTCATTATTTGGCTGGAAAATACTGGTCCCACTTGTGGAACTCTGGAGGGCATGTAGTAGGGCGGTGGTGGTGGGATCATCACCATCACAGCCGTTGATAACGTGCGTGAGAGCGGAGACGATGATCGAGTGTTCTAGGGTTAGAGTTTTTTCTGGTTTGGGGTTCATTTTGAAAAAGATGATGAAATTTTTGCCACCAAACTAGCCGAGATATATATATATATATATATATAGACGTTAAGGTAGTCCACGTGGCATCCAACTGTAAGCGGCCGGGCCGCGTTTATGTTCCTAACAATAAGTCGTTCTCTTTATATATATATATATATATATATATATATATATATAAGGGCTTGAAAGAAACTGATCTAGTGTCACATGGTCAGTGTGAAACTGGGTTGCTTGCAGAGTCTCTTTTGTGGTTTTGTTTTTTTCCGGCAGTTGCGGCTTGAGAGACTTGGAGGGGGTCATGGGTGTGTCCAATAGTCCCAGAATTGACTCTTATTGGTATATACTACCATTTTGTTGGACACTTGTGCGTCCACTTATTTAACGCCCGACACTTACCATGCCTTGTGAAGGCGCCGAAATGTGAAAAAACAAGGGTCCGTAGTAGTCCCTGTGTCCCAATGCGAGTCACAATTTTCAAAAATAATGTTTAATTTAAAATTGAGGGAGTAATTAATTTATAAGTTCGTGATTGTTTATCTTTTTTTTTTGAGCTGTGATAGGGGAATTGAGGGTTTTACCGAAATGAACATCGAATTTTAATTGACTTTGCCCGCATCAAATTACCTAACTCCTTATCATCGATTTTTTCTCTCCTAATTTTTCTTCGTTTCTCTTTCTTCCTCTTCGTTTCTCTCTCCTCATCTATGTGTGTGTTTGGTTTTTCACCAATTCTTCTTATACATCCCCTCTCTTGATATACATATATTTAAAGTAATCTAGAGACAAGATCCAAAATTCTTTATCCTCGCTCCTTTTTCAAGATCAACTACTTTTCTCTATTCATAAATCTTTCAAGAATAAATCTTTCCAATTTCAGATGAAAAATATGAAGAAGACTTTTTTATTTTTGGTAAGTAAATATCCATATAAGAGTTGTCATTACAAAATACATTAATTTCTTAGAAAAAAAAACCCAAGAGAAGAGAAACGATGAATCTATTGTAGCTTTTATTTTCTTTTTCTTTTTCTTTTACTTTTTTGTTCTGTTTTGGTTTTGTGCTTCTGTATTTGCAAAACATGAAGAAATTTAAATTTATTTTTATTTATCTTCAATTTTGCGAAATAAAAAAGAGAGACAAAACCAAAATCAAAGATAAAATTGAATACAAAAGAAAAATCGAGAATTAGAAGAAGAGAAGGGAAGAGGTAGGAGTATGTTTTTTAAAATAATCTGACGTGGCTGGGTCACGTTAAGTTCGACCTTTTATTCGGATGTTTGGTTCGGTTATCTTATCATTTTCCTTTTTTTTATTAGGAGTATTATTTTTATTTTTATAGTTTGCAAGAAAATAAAAATTATTTTGCTGCCTGCCTCTACGGTGATAAATATTTACTTTTCTGCCCCTACTAGTCCTAGTCTTGAACTTTGCCATTTCACTTTGGGTGGCAAGAAAACACTAGGGTAATTTGCACTCATACCCTCTCAAGTTTGCAATAAAGAACGGTAGATATAACTTAAGGAGAGTGTGATTTAATTGCCTCTCAATTTTGCAAACTTCAATAACAACACTCCAACCATAATAAGAGTACGTAATTGTCCTTGACTTATGAATTGACCTATTTAAATCATTAAAGTACAATATTAACATTTATAAGTCATTTTATTTGACCAAAATGACCCTTAAAAAAAAAAAAAAAAAAAAAAAAAAAAAAAAAAAAAAAAAAAACCTCTACCACAGTGGCCGCCAACGCCATATGCATATAGATAAGGGCAGAGCCAGGATTTTTTAATTGCCGAGGGGGCCAAACTAGTAATATAAAATTAAAATTTTAAAATAATATACAATCACCGTCTAGAATTTTTTTTTTTAATACACATTTAATGCCCTCTTTGAAATAGATGGATTAATTATACTATATAATACAAAACTCTAACTTTCCATCAAAAAAGTAAGAAATATGATTTTTAAACATATAGTTTTTATTATCCCTTATTAGTAATATATTAAATATTAAAAGACCATATTTAATATACAAATATTATATATCACTTTCAAGTAATCACACACAAACTAATCTTTTTATTTCTTAGTATTACTGGAACGTGGCTTACACAACATGTCACATTTTTCTTCCAAAAAAATTAAATAAAAAAAAAAACGTCACAATAAAATCATATATATTTGTTCATCTTTGAAGGTCATTTTGGTCAATTAATAGGAAGTTATAAAGTAATTTAATGATTCATATGGGTCACTCAAAAGTGAAAGGGAAAATATATATTTTTATCATGGTTTGGGTATCTTTGTTCATTTTACTGAACTTGGGAGTATCATTGTCCAAAAAGTGTTTAAATTGTAGATGACTATCTTTAACCCAAACCTATGATAAAAATATATTAATTTTAGAGTTTTCATAACCTAAAAGTTATTCTATATAGATACTGGGGATGGCGTAAACCCTAGGTCATTGTCCATTGTGGTGTTTTGGAACTCGGTGAGATACAAATGACAATTCAAGAGGAAAAGCCACATTGCTGAAGTACATTAGCAGTTTCCTGGGGAGGTTTTGCCATCCATTTACCCAACACTCTTTAAAGGCTCTGCTTGGTGAACCTGCTCAATAAGAACAAATGGTAGTGATATTATATATGTGTCTGTGCGTGTGTGAAAGTTCCTTTAGGGTTTAAAATGCCAGAGAACTTAGCTTCTATCAGTTGTCAGGTTTCCATAGAGAATGGCTATGAAGAGGTTGGAGAAAGGCTGGGCTCATGCAATGAGTGATCTATTTGCTAGTAACGTTTTGTTCATGCAAATCATCACACCTGTATCTCCATCAAGATCTCCGATAGTTGTTCGATCACTTGATGTTAAGAAATGTTACATTTTAGTGCGATTGGTACTCTTATGCATCTTGCAAAGTGCACAGGGCTAACATAGCATTTCGGTCAACTTACTCGTGAGATGCAGAATGATGCAATTTTGCACCAACTCGTAGCCACTAGAATTGGTCAAGCACATATTGCGTTATCTTTGTGGATAGTGATAGAGCCAGAGCCAGAGCCTGAGCTAGAAATTAATTTCAAGGGGGACATGTAACGACCCACTCCACCACATGGTATGATATTGTCCGCTTTGGGCCTGAACCCGCACGGTTTTGTTCTTGGGTTTCACCCCAAAAGGCCTCATACCAATTGGAGATGATGCACTTACATATAAGCACTTTACCTTTCCTCTACCCAGGCGATGTGGGACTGTGCACCCGTAGCTCGCCAGTGTGGTAGCCTGACAGTGTCTCTCGCACCCGCCCACGGCACACCCGCCCACAAGGTTATCACAATCCACCCCCCTTGGAGGCCCGACGTCCTCGTCGGCACACTTCCGGCTGGGTCAGGCTCTGATACCATTTATAACGACCCACTCCACCATATGGTATGATATTGTCCACTTTGGGCCTAAGCCCTCACGGTTTTGCTCTTGGGCTTCACCCCAAAAAGGCCTCATACCAATTGGAGGTGACACACTTATATATAAGCACTTCACCTTTCCTCTACCCAGGCGATGTGGGACTGTGCACCTATAGCTCACCAGTGTGGTAGCCTGACAGTGTCTCTCGCACCCGCCCACGGCACAACCGCCCATAAGGTCATCACAATCCACCCCCCTTAGAGGCCCGACGTTCTCGTCGGCACACTTCCGGCTGGGTCAGGCTCTGATACCATTGTAACGACCCACTCCACCACATGGTATGATATTGTCCGCTTTGGGCCTGAACCCGCACGGTTTTGTTCTTAGGTTTCACCCCAAAAGGGCCTCATACCAATTGGAGATGATGCACTTACATATAAGCACTTCACCTTTCCTCTACCCAGGCGATGTGGGACTGTGCACCCGTAACTCGCCAGTGTGTGCAGGGGGCACTAGTAGGCTACCATACTGGCGAGCTACGGGTGCACAGTCCCACATCGCCTGGGTAGAGGAAAGGTGAAGTGCTTATATGTAAGTGCATCAACTCCAATTGGTATGAGGCCTTTTGGGGTAAAGCCCAAGAGCAAAACCGTGCGGGCTCAGGCCCAAAGCGGACAATATCATACCATGTGGTAGAGTGGGTTGTTACAATGGTATCAGAGCCTGACCCAGCCGGAAGTGTGCCGACGAGGACGTCGGGCCTCCAAGGGGGGTGGATTGTGATAACCTTGTGGGCGGGTGTGCCGTGGGCGGGTGCGAGAGACACTGTCAGGCTACCACACTGGCGAGTTACGGGTGCACAGTCCCACATCGCTTGGGTAGAGGAAAGGTGAAGTGCTTATATGTAAGTGCATCATCTCCAATTGGTATGAGGCCTTTTGGGGTGAAGCCCAAGAGTAAAACCGTGCGGGCTTAGGCCCAAAGCGGACAATATCATACCATGTGGTAGAGCGGGTCGTTACAAATGGTATCAGAGCCTGACCCAGCCGGAAGTGTGCCGACGGGGACGTCGGGCCTCCAAGGGGGGTGGATTGTGATGAACTTGTGGGTGGGTGTGCCGTGGGCGGGTACAAGAAACACTGTCAGGCTACCACACTGGCGAGTTACGGGTGCACAAGTCCCACATCGCCTTGGTAGAGGAAAGGTGAAGTGTGAAGTGCTTATATGTAAGTGCATCATTTCCAATTGGTATGAGGCCTTTTGAGGTGAAGCCCAAGAGCAAAACCGTGAGGGCTTAGGCCCAAAGCGGACAATATCATACCATATGGTGGAGTGGGTCGTTATAGGACATATATATATATATTTTCAAAGTAAGAAGTATTAGATGTTAAATTAGTAAATGTAGATAATCGAAGGCTGACACTCTGATGTTAAATTAGTAGATGTAAAGAGTCGAAACCTGACACTCCAAAGTTCATAAAATATTTTTCTTTTTCAATTAACATGACAAGTAACGGTGAAAAAGTTAAAAATTAGAATTACATTAATTGTACAATAATCAAGATTTAAATAGTGTGTTATTTGTCTGTC